TTTTGGACATGGTTTTCCTATTAAATGCTTGCAATTTCTTCAACCATATCAATAATTGCATGTAATTGGATTAAGTGTAGTTGAATGATTAGGTAGGGAAGTAGAGATCCCATAACTTTGTCCTTTTGGTTTCTATGGGATTACAAAATGTGCTACTTCTGTGACAAAAGCACATAGGTCTATTTTGTGTACTTCAAAATAGCAAGTTATGCTTTATAGTGTAGATTGAGGATAAGTGGCTCCATTGAAAGAAAAAAAGGACTATCAACAAGAGGCAGTTACATTTAGGTGATATATGTCACTTGTTCAGTTCCAGGACTTTGTGATGCGGTATTGGGAAATGTTTGATGAGCTAGGTTCAATTCAATATTTGGTTAATAGGGATGGGTCACGGGTCAATAAGTGGGACATGAAAAGTGATATGAGGCTCTCATATCCCATCACCCATGTGGAGGATAGGTTTTTAGTTTGAATATGTAGAGGGTTAGAAGCATGGAAAAAATCACCCATTCAATGGAGCCAGAAGTTTAGCCCCACTGGTGGTGCCAATCCTTGCCGAAGTGATTTGTCAAACCTCTAGAGGCAATTTGGACTCGAGCTCTGGCAGTTGATATATCCATTGTGCCCAATTGTCAAGCTGCTGCAGCCTAAAATTTGTCGTTGCAGCCTGCTCGTGGATCATGTTGCTGTGTACAGTTAATCCATGACTTCATTTGCCAGGATTTGGGGTTTGAGCCGCACTCCCCTGTTTTTTTTTCCTTCTTTCAATCTGATATTCCCTGCTGGACCCTTTTTTTTCGCTGCTGCTTTGATCTTTTTCTCTTTGCTGATGGCCTTATGTCTTCTCCTTGTTTTTTATTCTTTTGTTTTTTTACCCATGGACTTGGCTTTAGTTGGTACCATACTACCATGTTTGCGTTGTATTTTCCCCTTTCCTGGAAGATTCTAGGAGAATGTGACTAGGCATTTTAGGCAATGAATTTGATTTCCCAAACCCAATCCCCCAAAAATTACTGGATAAGACAATTGGATTAAAACTCGTGTCATCAGGGAAGTTTGTGTTGTCATAAATACCGGATAAAAGGCAATCGGGTTAAAACTCCTATTGTCTATTATCCTATACTCCTAGTATCCTACTTTATAACCCAAAGTGAAACCCAATAGTATCCTAGTTTATAACCCAAATCCAACAGCTAACCCAAATGTCATGAAATTGAATTAATGGTATCATTGGGTGGCCATGACAGACAATAGGAGTTTGTGTTGTTTTATCATGTCATCAAATACATATCTATTGATTTTTGATAGATTTGCTATCGAATGACTTCTCTAGTCTTAAGTCTTAACAGCTCGTTTTTCTATTTACTATTTATGTTTTAAGGTAATGCTTGCTCTGTGCAGAATGGCAAACATGTGGAGTTCTATGCATCATCATCATAAGTGGCAGTTGGTTATCATATCAGGAATAAGAAATTTTGAGGCTCCACCGGTTCCAAGAGAGACAACTGATCAGCATTACAAGCAGACTTGTGACCTGCGTGACATTGTCAGGGAGTGGCACATGCAGTTTGAGAAACTCATGGACCATCAGAAAGGGTACATTAGAGCACTAAATGCATGGCTCAAGCTTAACCTCATCCCCATCGAAAGCAACTTGAAGGAGAAAGTTTCGTCCCCGCCTAGGCTGGTGGAACCACCTATAAAAGATCTGCTATATGCCTGGCATGACCAGCTTGAAAGGCTTCCAATTGAACTTGCAAAAACTGCCATCAAAAGTTTTGCTGAAGTCATAAGCAATATTGTACTACTTCAGGAAGAAGAAGTCAATCTAAGGAGGAGGTGTGAGGAAACTCGCAGGGATCTCAACCGAAAAAAAGCACAGTTTGAAGAATGGCACCAAAGGTACATGGAGAGAAAGGCATCACAAGGCGAGGATGCTAATAACAGTGAAGTGGCTGAAGCTGTGAACTCAGATCCTGTCGCCGACAGGAAGACGGCCATCGAGGAAGTAGAGATTAGGCTGAGGGAAGAAATGGGGCATCACAATAGGATTGCCAGGCAGGTTAGGGAGAAATCACTTGCCAACCTTCGGATGCACCTGCCAGAGCTCTTCAGAAACATGACTGATTTTGCTGGCTTCTGCTATGAAATGTACAGCAATTTGAGAAAATCTGCTGTACTGCCCAAAGATGAAGTGCAAGGCTGATGCTGTGCTCCCAAAATGTTAGTTATGTTGATTCTCGAGTTCATCAGCTGTAGGGGAAAATACTGGTTGTAGCTGTTCACTGGTATCGTTTTGATGTGCTGTTTTCCTTTTCTTTTTTGAAGTGCATCGTAGAGCTCGTGAGAATTAATGATTTGATCTGCCTGTAAATTGAAACGATCCTATTCCATCATCTATTTTCATTTTCTGTGCATTGATATCTTCTAGGTGGCCTTATATCATCAGTGCATATGTGCGCGACCAGAAGCACAACTGATGATTGTTTCTGAGCACTTAATACGCTTGCTACACTTATTACGTCATGGGGTAAGTTCCATAGTTGAGTCTTTTCATAGGGGTCTCACCGTGTTAGTGCATTTAAAGTACTTTTTATTATCGATCTCCAATTAGTCTTAACCAGAGACATCCACGTGCTATTACTTTAGGAGTTTTGATTGCTATTAGTATATCTAATAGTGCATATCTTATTTTCTTCTTATAGAATTTTCTGTTAAACTAGTTATCCAATCTACAATCTGATTACACTATTACGTTCGTTGCAATTAAATCTTTAAACAAGATCTTATATGATTATATTACAATGAAAAAATATTTATATTATATAAATTATTTTTATTATATACGTCATAAGTTACTTTTAGATTTGGCTATGCATTCATAATGCTCTAAGTTGATTATTTTTATTATTGTTTTTAGTTAATTCTATATTTTGTGGACTTTATAAATCTTCTCTACACTTTACTTGTGAATTTACTCTACATAGTTTCTTATTTCATCTCACTCATAATATAATTATTTCTACTATAGAGAGTTACTCCCTCCGTTTTATAATGTAAACCATTCTATTATGTCTAGATTCATTAACATCTATATGAATGTAGGCAATGCTAGAATAACTTACATTATGAAATAGAGGAAGTATTTCTATTGCATAACTAAGTTACTTCTGTTGCATATAATTACTTACAGAAAGTTACTTCTATTGCATAGCTAAGTTACTTCTATTGGATAGCTAAGTTACTTCTATTGTTTAAATACATTGCTTTTAAATTAATAAAATATTTGAATATATCCAATATGGATCTTGCATTGTCACATATTTTATATTTTATGTAGAGTATAATGATACAAATAGATCTTGAAAATAATACATGATTTAAAATATATAAGTTATTAAAGAGCTTAAATCTAAAAGTAATTTATGTATATGATAAAAGTTACTTACACACACACACATATATATATATATATATATAGGTAAATTAACTGGTGCTATATGGAGTATGGGCTCCAAGATTCAAATTGAGTATATACCCAATTTGAATGAGTATAAACTTGTTTTTTTTATTAGATTTTGGTTCTAGGTATATAACATCGAAACATATAATTCGTTAGGTATGTAATAATGAATTGTGAAATAAAGTTGAGTTTGAGTTGTTTTGTTGTTAGTATTTGTATGAATCAAATTCATATACCTAAATATCTACTTACAATTTGTAAATTTTTAAAAATTTAAGAGAATTTGTGTGTTTTATACCTTATAACCCGAGCACCATGGAGTCCCATATAGGTATCATTCATATATATATATATACACACACATACATATATATATATATATACATATATACATATATATATATATATATACATATATACATATATATACATATACATATACATATATATACATATATATATATACATATATATATACACACATACATATACATATATATATACATATATATATATACATATGGGGCACTCATATGGGGCACCATGGTGCCCGGGCACCATGGTATGAAATACACAAATTCGCCCAAATTTTTCAAAATTTTCAAATTGTGAGTATATACCTAGTTATAAGTATTCGATTCATACCTATACCTAGCAACAAAACAACTCAAATTTAACTTTATTTCACAATCCATTATTACATACCTAACTAATTATATGTTTGGATGCTATATACCTAGAATCAAAATCTAACAAAAGCAGGTTTGAATTCAGTTCAAACTTGCTTTGAACTAGTTAGTAAAGTAGTTAACGTTAATACCTAAATATTTGAAAAAGTTTCATACTCATTTGAATTGGGTATATAGTAAATTTCAATCATGGTGCCCGGGCACCATGGAGCACCAAACAAATTTACTATACACACACACACACACACACACACACACACACACACACACACACACACACACCACCCTCCGCCAGAAAAAAACCGCATCGCTCCCCTTATCTTTTTTTTTTCGCCCCGCATCGCCCCCCTTATCTTTTTTTGTTCGTCCCTTTTTTCTGTTCACCTGTTACTTTTTTTTTTCGTTTTTTCTTTCCTTCTGCTTCCTCCATTGGCCTATGAGTAAAATTATTACTCAGTATTCGTGCTTCGTAGTAAACTTTTATTATAGTAAAATATTTACTTCTTGTCAAATTGTTTGTGTGCACACTCACTGGATAGGTTCATCTTTTAGTAAATATTTAACGATCCCATATTATTCTTTTGGTGAACATTTTATTTCTATTTTCTTATATAAAGGCAGTATTTTTTAAAGCATACCTAGGAGTAAATAAATTACTTAACATGGTGATACAGTTTGATAGATAGACAGTAAATATTTTATTACATGACAAAATGCGTATGACTTACTATTAGTTATGATTTAATTGCCTAGTTATATAGATCCACATACTGTCAGTAATATTTTTATTATATCAGTTACTGGTGATAATATCTTTATTTCTTAGTCATTTCCAGTAGCTCCATGCATTATTGGTGATAGTAGTATTTTTACTATCAGGTGCTTTCGAAACTTACACATGGAAATGACTACACATCGAAACTTACACATGACAGCTGTATGTTGGTTTTGTCACATGATCAATAGAAATTACACATGGAAGACAAGAATATATATATTCTTGGTGATCTTAAAAGAAGGAAAATTACAACCGATGACTACATCCAAACACCACCACCAGCCCCGGTGCCAGAGACTCACGGCCGACACCAAATCCCCATGCCAGCTGCATCCGCGTCGGAGTCCGTCTCATCGGCTTGGTCCACTGTGGATTCAGTAGCCTCACCTGGAAATCAGGAAAATGCCAGGACATATGATCACAAAATCAATTTTACATGTAGCACCTAGTCTAGATGGTAAAAACATCATCATCATATCCATTCCTTGACTATTCTAGCTTGTTATAATGGTCCTGATGTCTTCTTACCATTCATCTGAACTTCTGAATATAAGAATAGATTACTGAACATTAAATCATGCAGTACAAAACCAAGATAACATCTGGAAATCAGGAAAATGCCAAGATATATTTACAGAATGGTATGTCTATTACATCTCCATACTGACATTTGAGAAAAAAAAGGCACATGAGCTAGGATTTTCACACTGGATCCATCAATTTTATCTCTGAAGTAAACAAATGCACATTAGCTATGATTTTCACAAACAGTCAAACAATTTTATCTAAAAAATATAGCAAGGTCGGAAACTAGTTCACTTGCTCTAAATTCCTGCTCGTTAGCAAGCATGCATTTTTGAGATAAAATTGTTGGACTCCTGCTCGTTTGCTCAATTGAACAATCGTAAATCAAAGAATCAAGAATAACAGCTCCCTTGCTCCAGATCCCTGCTCGTTAGCAAGCTGGCTAAGCCTCACGCAGCAAGCAGGCACACAGCCACCGCCCGCCACACGGCTTGGCCGCCTTGACGCGCATTCTTGCCGTCGGCGGTCACAACACTGCATAATGCGCCTGCGCCTATGGCACACGGAGAAGACGCATGGTCGCGCTTCCTCTCTCGGATTCGTCGCGCGGGCCGAGGATATTAGCGCTGGGTAGGGGGATACCCAGGCCGCGATGGACACGGTGCGACGGATGCGGCGGGGCCTCCGCTGCATGAAGCAGATCCAGCCATCGAATCAGCACGCCGTCTCCGCCGCTGAACCGGGTGGAGGGGATCAACAGCCGGCGCAGAGGCGACGTGAAAGGACTTGGCTTCCACCAAATCCATGGGGGAGGGGAGGCACCCATGGAGGGCCACTCGAGGTGGTGGACAAGCCTCCCGATCTGCTCGTCGTCGAGCTCGCCGCCGCCGGGAATAGGCTGTCTCCGTCGTCGAACCACCGGGAGCCCTGGATGCCACCGCATCTGCCATCTCCTACCTGCATCTCCAGATAGTAAAAAAAAGGAAAAAGGTTGGAGGGAGGGGCAACGATTATGGCTGCACACCTCTGCGCGGCAGATTTCACAGCGGTGGGGGGTATGGACGACGGTCGTGGAATGGGACGGGGTGGACAACGACGGGAGTCGGGGAGGCGATGGCTGCGGCGCTGTATGGACGGATGAGGTGGCGGCGTTGAGGAGGTGCCGATCGGAACAAGGTCGGCGTGGAGAAGACGAATGGCGCTCACCTCAGCCTGACGCCGCATCGTCCTCACAACTCGCCGGCGATAGGATATATATATATATATATATATTAAATTTGTTTGGTGCTCCATGGTGCCCGGGCACCATTGTTGAAATTTAGTATATACCCAATTCAAATGAGTATGAAACTTTTTCAATTACTTAGGTATTAACATTAACTACTTTATTAACTAGTTCAAAGCAAGTTTGAACTGAATTTTAACTTGTTTTTGTTAGATTTTGATTCTAGGTATATAGCATCCATATATATAATTAGTTATGTATGTAATTATGGATTGTGAAATAAAGTTAAATTTGAGTTGTTTTGTTAATAGTATAGATATGAATCGAATTATTATAACTAGGTATATACTCACAATTTGAAAATTTTGAAAAATTTTAGTGATTTTGTGCATTTGATACCATGGTGCCCGGGCATCATGGTGTCCCATATGAGTGCCCCATAATCAGAATATAATCATGTAACATCTTGTTGTAAAGATTTAATTGCAACGAACATAACGGTATAATCGGATAAGTTATTTAAAAGAAACTTCTCTAAGAAGAAAAAATACATAGATATTGAGTGTACTAGCAGCTTTTTTTTTAAAGAAGGGTGTCTCTCTTTAACATTATCCAGCTAGCACTCTCGGTGTAGTTGTGTCCTTTTTATTATTGTTACATCCTTTTTTAAAAGTCTTATGTAGTAAATTTTTCTTTTATCATGAGCTTAAGAGTCGATGATAAGGTTAACATGAGAGCTCTAGTTCTACCATAATTTGATGATATTTGATTATGCGTTGCTAGGAATCTCATAAAATGCAATATATTTGTGTAATAGAGTTATAATAATCTGGGTGGACTTGAAATTACCTAAGTTATTGCACAAGGAGCTTGTGGGCAATCGGAATATATAAAGGGGCGAGCGAGCAGGGGTGCCACGTCAGGATTTCGCTACAGTATGACGCGGGGTGGTATTTTTGCGAAAAAGCCCTCCATTTTGCTCGTATTTCGCCCGGCGTCCGTCGCTAATAGTCCCTTTGAGCTAGCACTTTACGTTTAGGCCCTTCTGAAATCCGAATATTCTATGTGAAGGAGAGGAAAACCGCAAATTAGGCTTGCGCTCTAAAATGTGGAAGCTGAGGGGTTTTTTTCGCAAAACGGCACCCACTACGCAAAACCCTAGCCGCCTCCACCCGCATCCCCTCCTCCCTCGTCTCGCCCTCTCCCTCTCTCGCCGCCTCCGCTTTCCCCTCGCGCCGCCGCCTCCGCTTCGCGCCGTTGCCATCGTCGTCCGCATCGCCTCGCGCCTCCGCCGTCGCCGCCACCTCCGCCTTCACCTATGCCGCCGCTGTTGCCGTCTCCGAGCGCCTCCACCTCCTTCTCCCCCCTCGCGTCGCTATCGTCGCCGAGAGCGGACTTCGATGCGGACGGGGAGAAAGTGACGAGGCGAACGCTCCTCTCCTCTTCCATTCTCGTCTCTCCTTTGCCTGCGAGGAGCTGTGCCTCACCGCCATCGTCATCGTCGAAAACCTGCCGCCGTCGTCGTCAACTGGTCGGCCTAGCCGCTCACCGCCATCGCAGTGGCCAGGTCTGATGGCACGAACTCAAGGTCGCCTGATCCGATGGCGATGAGTGTTGGGATACGCGTAGGCTACGATAGCATAAATCAAAATTTTCTATCGCGTAAACCAGGAACCATGCAAGTATTAGATCATAGATCATTACCACTTGACACGCTGCGCAGCGAGAGAAAGCGCTAAGAAGTCGAAGGAACTCTCGCGAAGTAGCGTGTGTCGATGTAGAGGAAGTAGTCGATCGCACCGGCTCGACCTTCTCCTCCTCGTGCGTTCTCCTCGCTGTACTCCCACGCCGATCAGCACCGCAAACCAGTGGCACCTCTACCGGTATCCACACGTACAGGGACGGAACGCCACGTGCAGATGTGCTAGCACCCGCGTGTGACTAGGGTTTTGCTCGGGGAGGGGAGTGGTGGCTAGGGTTTCTCACGTGATGCAATATCTCCGCCGGTCACACCCTTCACGAATATATAGGATCCATCACTCGGGCCTCCAAGGCCCGTAAGACTCCTGTTCGGATCCCTATCTGAATTAAGCTCATATTGGATCTCCATCCAATCCCCTTATTCCGGCCCATTAAGCGTGCGACCCTGTAGGTTCATGTACACTCGGCTGTAACCCGAAAATACCTTTTCAGTCCACGCGTCAACAGCGGCCCCTAGCAGAACGTATTGACCCACCGGGCATACATAAAGATCATATCGGCTGAACCTCTAGTGTATACTTGTATGAACCCCTTTGTCTCATGATATCGATTAAGCTCAGGGCTAGATATGTGCCATCCTGTAATAGCTCAATCATTCACTCGAACCTGTGATAGAACATATAACTTGTGATTGACTCCTCAATCACCTTTGGCATGGCCATGCACTTTCATAATCTACAATATCGAGGGGCCTAGAGATATCTCTTCATAGGAGGGGCAAATCCTATCTTGATTATTCATATCCCACTACATGTTTCATAGCATACCCGAAAACTACTTTTATAACTACCCATTACAGAGTAGCGTTTAGCAGTCCCTAAGTAAGCTACTACACATGTTGGGAACCATGATAATATCAGGTCTAAGGATTCAACATCAACACTAAATGAGATCACTGATGACACAACACATATAGCTCTTGCAGTGTCTCATGTTAGGTCTATCCAACAACATGTTCACCAGCATGTGTCCACATTATTAATTTGGTATCTCTATACCATGATCCATGAGATATGATCATCAATTAATACATGTGCTAATCATCTAAACATATTTGTTCCACATATGATATTTGATCAGGGATCCTTTAGAAATAGCAACACACAACATAAAGAGTCTCATGAAAGAATCACATATTCATTAACCAATAATGAGCTATCTATTTCAAGGAACAATGTCGGATAAATATGTAAACATAGTATGTGATACAATCATCTCTGTGATTGCCTCTAGGGCATATCACTGACAGTCTCCCACTTGCACTACAGTCAATCATGCACGTATCTTATACCCATTGCCCTATTGTGTGCCTCATGCTTAGGCTGAGGGAGTGGCTTTGTCAACGGATCTGCAACATTCAAATCTGTATGTATTTTGCATATCTTCACAAATCCTCTACCCACTATCTCGCGTATGAGGTGATACCGCCGTAAAATGTGTTTGGACTTTTGATGCGATCTAGGCTCCTTGGCTTGCGCAATGGCACCACTATTATCGCAATAGAGGTCCATAGGGCTGGAAGCACTAGTCATCACACCCAATTGAGAAACAAATTTCTTTATCCAAACAGCCTCCTTTGCTACTTCAGAAGAGGCAATGTATTCGGCTTATGTTGTAGAATCAGCGACTGTATCTTGCTTGGAACTCTTCCAACTCACAACGCCACCATTCAGGCATAACACAAATCCAGATTACGATCTAAAATCATCTTTGGTCGGTTTGGAAGCTTGCATCAGTGTAACCATTTACAACGAGCTCTTCCTGTCCTCCATAGACTAGGAACATATCCTTAGTTCTTCTCAAGTACTTCAGGATATTCTTTATAGCTATCCAGTGACTCTCACCTAGAGCTGATTGGTATCGGCTTGTTGCACTAAGTGCATATGAAACATCTGGACGTGTACATAACATGGCATATATGATGGATCCAATTGCCGAAGCGTATGGAATCACACTCATCTTGTTTGAGGACACTGATTCTTGCCAAGATTAATGCCATGTGACATCGGTAAGAAACCTTTCTTAGAATCTTGCATGTTGAACCTCTTCAACACCTTGTCAATGTACGTACTCTGGCTTAATCCAATTAGCCTCTTTGATGTATCTCTATAGATCCTTATGCCCAGAATATATGCTGCTTCCCCTAAGTCCTTCATTGAAAAACTATTTTTCAACGATGTCTTGACGGATTCAAGCATAGGAATATCATTCCCAATCAGCAATATGTCATCTACATATAATATTAGAAACACCAGTGCGCTCCCACTAATCTTCTTGTATACACAAGGCTCTTCTTCGTTTTTGACAAAGCCCAATGCCTTGACTACTTCGTCAAAACGAATATTCCAGCTCCGAGATACTTGCTTCAACCCATAAATGGATTTCTGCAACTCGCATATCTTTTTAGCTGATTGTGGATCAACAAATCCCTTGGGTTGTGTCATGTACACATCCTCATAGAGATTTCCATTGAGGAAAGCTGTTTTGACATCCATTTGCCATATCTCATAATCGAAATAGGCATCAATCGCTAAAACAATCCGAACAGATTTTAGCATGGTGACTGGCGAGAAAGTTTCATCATAATCAACACCTTGAATTTGTCTGAAACCTTTCACCACCAATCGTGCCTTATAGATGTGAACATTTCTATCTACATCTGTCTTTTTCTTAAAGACCCATTTACACTCAATGGCTTTTACACCATCAGGTGGATCAACCAATTTGCAAACTTGATTGACATGCATGGATTCTATTTCGGATTTCATGGCTCCAAGCCATTTCTCAGAGTCTGGTCCCACCATTGCTTCCTCATAGGTAGTAGGTTCATCGTTGTCTAACAACAATATATCACGTTGTCTTGTAGTTAACAACGCATACGTTGCAGGTGTACGCCGTTTCCTTTCGGATCTTCGTGAAGCCGGTGCTTCCACAGCTGGTTGAACAACCACTTGTTCAACCTGTTGACCAACATCTTGCTCACCTTGTTGTGGTTGTGTGGACGTTGAAGCGTTTTCCGGTGTTTCCTGAATTTCTTCAAGTCGCACCATGCTCTGTCGCGCCCAGAAATTTAGCCCAAATTTCCAGACTATTTTGTGTATTAAATCCCTGTCCAGGACCAGCCAGGGTACACAAACCGACAAGTAATATACAGTTCCAAACGTAAATAAAGCGTAAAATACTTACAGAAGAGGCACTTAGTCCTCACACCGAAACAAAAGCAGCAGCAGCGGAAAAGGCGATCCTAGCGGGGCTTCAGCTCCACTCCACAGGCAAAACTCAACTGGGGTATGAGCCTTGGTCCTCTAACTCCATCTTCAGCTCAGAAGCACTACACTTCTGAAAGGAGGAATAATAGCAAGGCTGAGTACAACCACCGTACTCAGCAAGCCACACCAACGATGCAGACGTGCAAGGGGAACACAAGGACGGTTTGTGGCTATTTGCATAAAGGCGGTTGTAAAACATTTTATTGAGCAAAACAGTAAAACTGTTGAGTAATTAAAGTAACATTAAATCTGCACTGATCAACGCTATACCACGTTGAACAGGCCCAACCAACCCACCTGAACTACATTGCATTGGGTCGATTTATTAAGGTGGGACTAATCACGGTGAATCTGGTCGACCGCCCATAACCGCGGGCACGGCTATTCGAATAGTTTTACTCTGATCAGAGGTGTACAACTGTACCCACAAGACACAGCCCCACGACACGTTTCCGTGCGCCGACATGCCACCACGACATACCGGAAAGAGGCCGTGACATGACCCTTCGCATAACCCCCTCTAGCCAAGCACACCACACCTCAGGTTTCACCCCCACTCCTCGCAAGGCAGCGGGCAGTCCCCTCTCGTGCCTAGGTGAATCCGGAAGCCGCATAGGCCGTCGCAGGGCCCATCCAAACTCCATCACGCCCACCCTTGCCTGGATGCGTCCGCTAGAGGAAAGCTACGCTACAAGCCCAGCCGTTGCCCACGCTGGCTTGTGGTAAGTACGATAAGTTCTTCCAGGGCATCCCGCGAACCGGTCCTTAATTGCCATGGGTGCGACTAGCAAAACCATGCACCCACAGCCCACCATTCAGTCGCATTTTAGTTGGATAATTACGACCATGAAGCATGGCCAGATGTCTCGAGCACGCAGCTCGTCATGTCATGATACTAGGAGGTCTAATACTGCAATTATCCCATCAACTGAGCTAGTGGTAATTAAGCATGGCTAAGCATATAGTTCTAGCTAAGTCACATAAGTAACATGAGCTAGTCGATTCATTACCCAAAGTTGACAAAGAACAGATATCAAGTAAACATGGCACAAGCGAGCAGATAGGTAATACCCTGACCCCGTGTAATTAGCAAAACATGCATATTTATTTGCAAACAGTAAAACATTTGTAAATTAGGATCAAAATGCTCAAGGGGAATGTGTGACTTGCCTTGCTTCTTCAAACAATCTTCCGAACTCTTTTCCTCGCGACCGCGGACTTCCGAAACGACGGAAACTACACGCTGGCACGCAAAACGAGGAAAAACTCTAATAAAAACCAAGGAAACAGTACATAAAAACTAAACAAACATGTAGAGCTCAATTTTAGATGAATTTTGCAAGTTGAACGGCTCAATTCGGAGTTCGAATGAATTAGGTATGAATTTTAGAAGTTTTGAGCCATTTAAATGAATTTCTATAATTAAACTCGATTTATTTCGCAATTATTATTTATTTTTACAAAGGAAATGGACCTCGCTGACGTCATCAAGGGGGAGGGGCGGCGCCGGCAAGCGGGCCCCACCGGTCAGCGGCACAAGGGCGCCGGTCCACCGTGGACCGGGACCACCGAGGCGGTCCACCGCCGGTCCACGGGAACCGACGGCCCGGATCGGCCCAAAGCCGATCGGACGGCCACGAGGCGGCGCGGCTGGGGCACGGGCACGGCATGAAGCCGGCTCGGCCGAGACATGGCGCGGCGGCGGCAAGGGGGAGGTGGCAAGGGGGAGGCGGCAACCGGCTGCAGCAGCCGGCGACGTGGAACGGCGGCGGGCGGCCGGAGGACAGCGGCGCGCACGGGGACGGCGACGCACCCCAAGAGGCGGCGGTCGGCAAGAAAGGGGGACGGGAAAAAAAAAGGAAGGGAGGAGAGATCCTCACCGGAAGCGGCGGCCGACGCGGAGGAAGAGGACGGCGACGACGATTGCCCAATGGCGGCTTGCGAGGACGGAGGGCGGACGGGGTCGCCCTTGACCTTCAGAAGGAGAGGAGGGAGTTAGGGAGGGGAGGACCGATGCGGGGTGACTGGTAACGAAGGCCGATGGCGATGACAAGAGGTAGAGCTCACCGGCGACCGAGGAAGGAGGAGCTCCGGCAGATTTCCGGCGAAGAGGGGCGGCGGCCGAGGTCCTCCTCGTCCTTGCGGAGCTGAGGGAGGCAACGGCGCGAGTCGACGTCAACCGAAGCGGCGGCGCGACGCGGCTGGAGTCGGCGGCGGCGGCGGAGAGAGGTGGTGAAGAGGGATGACGCACGTGGCGGCGGCGTTTCGGAGTTGGAGAGGGCAAACGGAGTGGAGGCCGGGGTAGAGCTCGGCACCGCGATGCCGACGACACAAACGGCGCGGCGCTGCGGCCCCTAGGGCGGCAGTAGCGGGCGGCTGGGGCGGCGAACGGCGGTGGAAGCTCGGCCTCGCGGTGGGAATGGTGCTGCGGGGGTGGAAGGAGAGAACGGGGTGGATGCCGGGGTGCGGCACGACGCAGCGGAGCTGACGGTGCAAGCGGCGCGGCGCGGCGGCGGCTACAGCTACGGCGGCGTGCAGCCGGAGCTTGCCGGAAAGCGGCGGAGCGCGGGAGCAACGTGGGGAGAGCGGTAGGGAGTGCAGCGGGTTCGGGAAAATTGGGGAAAAGGGGGAGGGTGGCACGGGGATCATTTTTATAGGCTCGGGGAGGAGAAATCGTGGCCGGACGGGCGGCAACGGCCGGCGGATGGAGCTCCGGCGACGTGGGCGAGTGGGGCTCGAACGGCGCCGATTTTTGGGGGAAAATGGGGGATAAAGTGGAGGAAGGAGAGGACGTGGGGTGGACCGCGCCCGCACGTGCGCGGGAACCGGGAGGCGCGCGGGGAGGGGCGGCGACGAGGGCGGCTTGGGCGGCCATGGCAGTTGCTGGCCCGGGCTGGAGGTTGGGGGTGACCCCGACAGGTGGGGCCCACCTGTCGGCGGCTCGGGGGGAAGGAGAGAGGAGGAGACGGTTGGGGGAGAAGATGACAGGTGGGGCCTCGGGTCCCACCTGTCGGAGAGAGAGGGAGGGAGAGGCCGGCTGGGGAGGCAAAGCAGACTTGAGGGAGAGAGAGAGCCGAGCGGGCCGAGGGAGAAGGCCGGCCCGAGAGGGAGAGAGGGGGGGGAGGGGAATTGGGCCGAAAGGGGCCCAAAGAGAGGAGGGAGGATTTTATTTGTTTTCTTTTTATTTTAATTGGTTAAATGATCTTCGTGACTTTAAAACTATTTCTCGAGCTCCGAAAATTCACGGAAAATTCCGGAGAGTACATTAGGGCACAAAGAATATTACAAAATATTCCCGGCCAATGACTTTTAAGGGAAAATTTTAATTCTCCCATTATTTCACTTGATTAAATTGCTTTAACTTTTATTTAATTTCCAGAAAATGCATTATTTAATGATTTAAAACCCGAACGAAAATCGGGGCGTTACATGCTCCCACTATCCTTTCTTGAAATAAACTCTTTTTCCAAGAAAACACCGTGTCGGGCGACAAACACTTTGCCTTCTTCCCGATTATAAAAATAATATCCTTTCGTTTCCTTAGGATACCCCACAAAGAGGCATTTATCTGATTTAGGTGTGAGTTTGTCCGATTGCAAACGTTTTACATAGGCCTCACAGCCCCAAATCTTTAGGAAAGACAAACTAGGACGCTTCCCTGTCCATATCTAATATGGTGTCTTATCCACTGATTTTGATGGAATCCTGTTTAGTGTGAACGCAGCTGTCTCTAAAGCGTAACCCCAAAAGCTTAGCGGGAGATCAGTTTGGCTCATCATTGATCGCACCATGTCCAACAACATACGATTCCTCCGTTCAGACAACCCATTCCATTGAGGCGTTCCTAGCGGAGTGAGTTGTGGAACAATTCCACACTCCTTTAGATGATTGCCAAATTCAAGGCTCAAGTACTCTCCACCACGATCAGATCGTAGATACTTGATTGTCTTGACCAAATGATTTTGTACCTCATTATGAAATTCCTTGAACTTTTCAAAGGACTCAGACTTATGCCTCATTAAGTAGACATAACCATATCTACTAAAGTAATCGGTAAAGGTAATAAAGTACCCAAAACCACCTCTGGTAGTTGACTCATTGGTCCACATACATCAGTATGTACTAGTGCCAATAGTTCACTTGCCCTTTCACTTTGATCCGTGAAAGGTGCCTTTGTCGTTTTGTCAAGTAAACACGATTCACATGTCTCAAATGATTCAAAATCAAAAGAGTATAGAAATCCATCTTCATCTTTATGAAGCTTCTCCATGCGTTTCTCTTTTATATGACTCAAGTGACAATGCCAAATAAAAGTGGGATTCAAATCATTAGGACGTTGTCTTTTCGCATTAATGTTATAGACTGAACATCCATCAAGATTCACAATGTATAAGTGTTGATGCGAAAAACACACACTAGTCTGGGAGATCTGCTTAGCTCCAGTGCAGGTCCAAAGGTTGATGAGATGCGGGCGTGCCAGTCAGTTTGACCGTGCAACTGACAAGATATGCAAACAGTAGATCAAACAGCCGATCCGCTGACAAGCCGTTGGAGTAATTCCAGCCGATAGCCGATGCCGATAGCCGATACTAACCGATAGCGATAGGGTTTAAGCAATCGGCTATATGTCCAATGTAGACTATAAAGGCAATTGGCTGATGATGATGTAATTAAACAATATAATCCAGTATAAACCAATCGACTAACAATATGACATAATAGAACAAGCACTGATCCGAAGGTTAAAGTATACATCGGCTGAAGGTCCGATGTCATAAAATCCAAACGATTAGATAAACAGTAAAACCTTTGTTGTCATCGGCTAAATCCAACTCATATGTATATGCAATCCTTATAAGCCGATGCAACGTCCAGATAACTTATCGGCTAGCATCCTGATAAAACATTAGCATGAACCTATCGGCTTAACAAGATTTATATTATCAATAACAATCTAGTAGGTCGAACCTAACTGATGCAGCATAAGATTGTATATGATAATCTAATACTCGATGAGCCTATAGATCTGTCTAATGTGATGGATATAACAAATCTATTAAGAACAACATTGTGATTGTAGAGATATATCAGCTAAGACAGAAGATCGGACCTAACCGAGATAGTTCCAACTAAACCGATGCGTCTCTAAACACAATGCAATTAGAGATAGAATTGAGATATCAGGTAGGCAAATATACCAACCAAACCAGAGCGATCCAAGAGATCGAAGCGATGCAGCCTTGAAGGCTTGAACAACACCAACGTAGCCAATAGATTCACCAGGGCCGGCGGAACGTAGGACTTACCCCTTCGCCGGAGATCGAACTAAACCGATGCAGCCCCGCGTCAGGTGCCAAATTCCGCCGGATGATAAGTAAAAACCTCAGGAAAGAGGGTAGCGAGGCGCCGAGAGTAGTTGTATTGATCGAGAGATTTTTTACAATGACCTCGGGTGTTCATATTTATACCCATAGGGATATACTAGTTCTTGTCGGTCAAGAAAGAAACTTTCCTAAAGATAAAAGGAAAATATAAAGTCCTTATTGGACACTAAACACACTTTCCTATAGATAAAAGGAAACTAACAAACTATTCCTAATTAATAGATAATTTGCCATGCCGCATCTTCCTTGAACTCGGACTCTTCTAGATAAATATCCTTTAATTGATCCGACTCCACCAAGAACACAACTGTTGGCGATTTAATGACTCCCATCGGCCGATTCCAAGACTCTGAAGCCGATACTGACTCTAGGCCGATGATGACTTCGGGCTTACCAAATTTTGGCGTTAACACATGCCCCCTAGTTTTGGAGTATGAAAACTCATGCTTCAAAATTGTCTTATTTCTTGTCTTGATAACTCCAAAACTGATCTTCCTTCGCATCTTGTAATCGGCTTTCATGAGTAGATACTGTCTGCGTTAGTTGAGCTAGGCTATCAAACTCGTGGCAAAATAATCTATCTATGATAGGTGTTGATAAACCTTGGAATGCGAGATCTGCTAGCTGCTCAAGGTATTTCTTACAATTTCTCTTCCAATGACCTGTTTCCTTGCAAAAGAAACACTCTGCATCCTCAGCGGGCCCTATCTTTTGAACCTTGACCTTAGAGTTGCTAGTACTCGTGATCTCATCAGAGTTTAGCTTTCTCTTTTGACCACTCTTCTTGTTATTGGGTTTGCGCTTATGCATAACCATCACATGGTTGAGTTTTTCTTAATGCTTTCATCTGCAGTCTTTAGCATCCCATGCAATTCGGCCAAGGTCCTATTCAGGTTGTCCATGTTGAAATTCAAGATGAATGGCTCAAAGCTAGGAGGAAGCGACTGGAGAATCAAACCAGTAGCCAACTCTCGGCTAAGGGGAAAACCAAGTTTTTCCAGACTCTCGGTGTAACCAATCATTTTTGATCACATGTGGGCTCACTGGATTACCTTCTGCAAGCCTGCACACAAACATGGAATTTGAGGTATTAAACCTCTCAGCTCTTGCTTGGTCCTCAAACATGTTATGTAGTCCCGTGATTATCGTATGAGCATCCAATGTCTCATATTGCCTTCGAAGCTCAGGGGATATAGTAGCAAGCATGAGACAGCTTATATCAAAATAATCATTGCATCGCTTTTCATGCTCCCTACGCTGAGCAGCAGGAGCATTGTTGGGCAAGTCAGCTGGAAAAGGCTGTGCAAGCACAAACTATTTGTGCTCTTGCCTGAGAACAATTCTTAGGTTGCGATACCAATCCATAAAGTTTGTTCCATTCAACTTCTCTTTCTCAAGAATAGACCGCAAGTTAAAATTGGATGGTACAGGAGCTGCCATGATCTACAATAGAAATATATGTATGCAAAATCAGCACCTTGTTTACATTTAACCTTTCATTAAACAATTTAAAAAAAGATACTCCCACTATGTATTGCGAAAAAGATACTCCAACAGATAGGGAATTAGATAGTGCAGGAGCTGCCATGATCTACACTATATATATATATATATATATATATATATATATATATATATATATATATATATATATATATATATATATATATATAATACCATCAAAATTAACGTTGAAACATTTTGATCCAACACAAAAAATCGAAAAAATTGCAAAAAAAAAGTACCACTCTAACATCATTTAACAATTTAACAAAAGATACTCCCACTATGTATTGTGAAACAAAATTCCCTCTAACATCATAATGAGTCAAGATCCTCATTTTTTTAGTGTCTAGTGAGCTTTGGCATCATAGCTAGACAACTATCAAAATAGGTAAGCAACACCTTGCTAATCACATCATATGTGACTCTTGTGCTGTTGGTGTGACATTTCCATGTCCAACCCAACCTATGCCCCAAGGTCCAAAACCGTTTTGATAACCTTGTCAAGTAAACCAATAATCTCCGCATATAGATGTCCGACATCTATCATATTTTATCATGATAAAAAGTGACACTCTACTATGGCAAACCCATCACTTATGATCACAACCATAATAGGTGCAATTATCGGAAGAGCATAAATTACACTAAAATTTTCTGAGGGAATCTATCCTACCATGTCATATCAAATATACAACAGCAATAAAGTAAGATAGATAAACATCATATGCTAGACATAGAATCAGATAAATCCGCAAGCGCACAGAATACCGCTGTAGCACTTCACCTTCGGGTGACCCCAAAAGGATATCGAACTCAGGGAACATGTGAAATCTACCTAAGGCTAAGACGATCCAAGGACAACAACTATAGGTAGGCAGGCTAGAGAGGACTTTCTATGTGTATTTATTATCTACGCTAAGCAAGGTAATTCCCTATCTGTTGCTTCGGGTACTAACCCCTGCTGGTCTGCCAGCATGGTTCCGGCTATAGCTCTATGATGTATCCGAACGTGGAGGATTACTGTGA